TTTACTTAAGGTCTCATGAAGTCCAGGCTGACTTTAATCTCACTATGTAGCCAAGACTGGACTTGAATTCCTGATCTTCCTGCCTCTACCTCCCAAGTACTGGGAATATAGGCAGCTACCATCGTGCCCAGTTTCACCCACTTTTTTTTTTTTTTTTTAATGTATTCCAGCCTGGCCTCTAATGCACAATGTAGCTAAGGATGACTTTGAAGTTCAGATCCTCCTGCTTCCACCTCCCAATTGCTGGGATTACAGGCATGTGCCACTCAGTTTGTGTGGAGCTAGGGATTGAACCCAGTGCTTCCTGAGTGCTGGGACAAACTCCCTACTGACTGAGCCTCAGCCCCATGCCTTGGCCACAGTTTTGATATCCCATTTTCTTCAAAAGAATTTCTCTTCAGCTCAGTGCTTAGAACATACCAGAACTGGTTCTAGATCTCAGGAGACCACCTGCTAAGGCTATGACTGCTTGTGCTGTGGATGGATGAAGAGATTGAAGGGGAGCTTGTTCTTGTTTTTAATAAAAGTCTTCCAGCTCCCAGAGCCCTGAGGAACTGCATTTATTTTGTGTTTTGGATTGCTTTTGTGGCATACCTCTTTTTTATTTTCTGGTGATGGTGGGGAGTACTGGGGGTTGAACCTAGAGCCTTGCTAGGCAGGCACTGTAGCACTGAGCTATAGCCCCAGCACTTCTTTTACCTTTTATTTTGTGACATGGTCTCATTAAGTTTCCGAGGCTGGACTTGAACTCCCTTTGTAGCCCCTGTAGGTCTTTAATTTGCTATTCTTCTGCCTCAGTCTCCTGAGTAGTTAGAATTATAGGCCTCCACCCATCAGGCGAGGCTCATACTTCCTCTTTAAAATTTTATGATTTTTATTTTATGTGTATGAGTGTATTGCCTGCATGTATGTGAGTGCACCCACATTGTGCAATGCCCGCGGAGGACAGAAGAGGGTGACACTTCCTCTTTCAAATGGACCCTTTGGCTGTTTGGGGCACCTGCATGTCCTCAGCTCATCCCCTATTTCATATTTTAATGTGCTACAAAAACAGCCTTTCTCATAGAAACACGTCTCCCTGCTTTTGGGCAAGCATCTTATCAGTTTTGCTGGTGGCCTCAGAACTTTTTGGGGGTAGACAGAGATGGATGCCTTTCTACTTTAGGTTCTTGGATCCCCAGTCATAGCCTAACCGATTCTTTGACTGGGTGGCACTTGAGCTGGGCTGGGGCATTTGACTAACTGACATTGATGCTGTTAGAAAAAGCCATGCAGGAGGAGTTAGTGGACCCTGCCCTTCTATCCTGGGTACAATGCTGAACAACACAGTACTATCTGGGCTACAAGTTTTACATTTCCTAGTAGCCACATTTTTAAAAAGTAAAAAGAAATATGGGGGCTGGAGAGATGGCTCGGCGGTTAAGAACACTGGTTATTCTTGCAGAAGACCTGGGTTCAAATTCCAGTACCCACATGGAAGCTAACAACTGTTCATAACTCCAGTCCAAGGGGATCTGACAGCCTCTTCTGACCTCCGAGGGCATTGCACGACACGGGTGCACTTACTTACATGCAGGCAATACACACATACACATAAAATAAAAAAATAATAAAGTAAAAAGAAATAGATGAAATTAGTTTTGCTAACATTTTGTTTAATCTAGTAAACCCAAAATATCATTCCAACATGTGATCAATATAAAATAATTCATAGTTTTTTTGGAGGGGCAATTTAATAAAGATATGTTAATATAATTGGAGGTGTGGGGGCACACACCTTTCATACTGACACTTAGGAAGCAGAAGCAGGCCAGTCTCTGTGAGATTGAGGCCAGTCTGGGCTAGGTAGTGAGATCCTGTTTCAATAAAAATAAAACAGTAACCAGGTGTGGCCGATCTCTGTGAGTTTGAGACCAGCCTGGGCTATGTAGTGAGACCCTCATCTCAGTAAAAACAAAACAGTAATCAGGTGTGGTGGTGCATGGTTTTAATCCCAGCACTTGGATGCAGTGAGTTGGGGGCCAGCCTGGACTACATAGCAAGTTCCAGGTCAGCCAGGGAGACCCTTTCTAAAAAAAAAAAAGTTAATAGCTGGGCATGGTGGCGCATGCCTTTAGTCCCAGCACTTGGGAGGCAGAGGCAGGTGGATCTCTGTCAGTTCAAGGCCAACCTGGTCTACATAGTGAGTTCCAGGCCAGCTGGGCTACAGGGAGACCCTGACTAAAAAACCCCAAAAAAAAAAAAAAAAAAAGGTTAATATAGGCTTAAGCATGAAAGTTAAGCAAGGCGTTCAGAAAGGATACACCAGAGAGCATCAGTGTGGAGTTCTCTGAGACTCATGAGCTATTCGACCTGCTTTTATGGTGCTAAGCCTATGAAATCACGTGTGTATTTGACATACCTCAGAACTAGCCCCTTTTCAAGTGCTCAGTAGTCCCATGTTGGACAATAAGCTCACTGCTAATCAGGGGAGATGGAGAACTGACCATTCTGGGTCCCCTTTGCTCTCCAAATAGCCTGCCTAGCTTGTCAGACCAAGAAGGAAAGGATAGGGTTTGTATTTATATATGAGATATGAGATTAATAACTTTAGAAATGAACATCCCCCCTTTGTCTCCCTCCCTCCTTCCCTGTTCTGTCAGATTGAACCCAGAGCCTGGCACATGCTTGGCAGATGCTGAACCTCTTGAGCTAGTCTTAGGAATATGATTTTTTTAAAAAAGTGTTTTGGCCTGGTGTGGTGGCGCACGCCTTTAATCCCAGCACTCAGGAGGCAGAGGCAGGTGGATCTCTGTGAGTTCAAGGTCAGCCTGGTTTACATAGTGAGTTCCAGGACAGCTGGGGCTACAGGGAGACCCTGTCTCAAAAAGGCCAAAAAAAAAAAAAAAAAAAAAAGTGTTTTGATGTCCAATCAGTAAGGGGGGTTTAGGTTCATGTAGTTATATATTTGTCCTTCATGGAAACATTTATGTAATATTCATTTGCTCTTTTTTTGGATTAATAAGTTTTAGAAACTAACGTGGTGAGACATTGTTACTTTCTGTTGTGTCATCTTCTTGGGATTTCCTCTATTCTTTATGTCACCAGCTGGTAAGTGTAGGCTTGGGCAGATGGATTCCAGAGCCTACATTCCTACTGTGCAGCACTGTTTGGTGCTAGACATTAACATTTTTCAAACTCGTCAAGGCTCTGGTCTCCTTTAAGCATGTTTACTGTAAGCCCCTTGCTTTTGGAGATCCTGCCCAAAGTCTTTGTCCTTTTGATCTAGGACATAAAAACCAAATATAACTTCTGTATCTCAGACTATAAATCAAAGCTTGTGTTAACAGTCAAATGATTTTCTATCAGGTACAAAAAAAAAAAAAAAAAAAGGCCATTTTATTTTTGGTGGTAGAGGGGAAGGTGAGGCAGGGTTTCCATGTGTAGCCCAGACTTTCCATATGTAGCCTAGGCTGGTTTTGAACTTGCAATGAGCACCATCATGCTTGTCTCTCTGTGTAGTGCAAAGCTTTGGCTTCATAGGACCCTGTCATGAATGAGATTGGGGGGGGAGGGAAGGGAGGGGGAGGGAGAGAGAACAGAACTCAATTTAGCTACTAATAGAAAGGGTTAAACATGTCTAGCCTGTGCACACACCGACTCACCTCTGCTAACCTGCACCTCTCATACCGCGTGGAGCAGTAGTTGTAAAGTTCTGGACTGCTTTGTAATTGTATTTTACTTTATCCATTGCCTAGAGAGCAGCGAGCCGGCAAGAGGTGTGGACTGGCAATTCGGCATCTTTTCTCTTTCTCACCCCTCCCCCGAGCTATTCGACCTGATTAAATAACTATGGGATGGTAGCCGGGCTTCCAAACGCGAAGGACGCCTCTGCCGTCTACGGGATTTCACCCACTCTGAGCCTCCGGGTGCTCCGAGGAAGCTCCGGAGTTCGCAGAATCTCCCGGTTTTGTCAAGGATTCTCCAGTGGAGTTCACACTAGAAGCAGGAGCCGACTCGGGATGCCTCGAGTCAAGTCGGATTGTTACTTGCAAATTCTTTTCACTTATTAAGTCCAGAAAGGTGCTGCCAGCGTCACTCCCCGCGGTAACTCTAGCAACGCCCAGCTCAGGCTCTTACCTTTTTACCTTGTAGGTTCCTCGCTCCCCGAGCTGCAGAGAGCAGCTCCTAAAGTTGCCTGAAATCTTCCCTACCCCTCCTCCCAAGGGGCGCTATGTCCCACCCCGCTCCCCAGCGGGCGGGTGTCGGGTCACTGTGGCTCTCTGGTGAGGGTGGGGGACGGTGGTCGTGGGGTACCGCGCAGAGTGACAATCCGTGAATTACGTAACGAAAGCCTGGGCTGCAGGAGAGTGACTCTGAGACCTTCCCGGGGGAGGTGAACTGCTGTCCTGGAGTCGCCAGGAAGAGTGGCGGCATTTCCAAGAAACCCAGGAGGAAGGAGGCTGAGATAAAGAAAACACTTCGGGAACCAGAATATCAAACAGCCGCGGGACCCAGAGCGTTATTAGCAAACGGAGGAACACGTGGAGTCGTCTCTCGGAGGAAGCAGCAGCCTTCCAACTTTGGCACTGGAGCCCGGTGGTGGACCCTGGGGGTGGGGGGTTAAAAACGGTGAGCTGCGGAGCCTGGAGCCAATGAATGGGGCTCGGTGGTTTGGATGGCACGACGTAAATGTTTCGGTCCTGGAGCGCAAACTCTTCCGTAGTTATTTAGTAAAGTAAGGACCCAAACTAAGCCCGGAGCCTCTCCCGTGAATCTTCACTGGCTCCCACCCGAGCAGCAACTGCTAACGCGGTACTGCCCCTTTAAGACCTGCTCGCTCTCGGGCTCTACAAAAGGGAGTGACCTCTGGGCTTTGACAGCTCCCCTAATAACTACCACCGCGCAGGCCCCGCCCACCTGGTGGCCGGCCGCGCCGATTGGCCGGCAGGCCGGTATCCCGTGCTCTGATTGGCCCGCCGCTTCCCCTGAGCGAACCTTTAGAACTCTGAGACAGACAATATTCTGTTACATTGTAGCAAAATGGCGACTGTCATTCACAACCCCCTGAAAGCGTAAGTAAGACTAAAAAAATGTACATATTCCGCGTGGTTTCAATATGAAAAAAAGGCGCCTTCTGCGCGCCTGTCGCGACAGGCACCGCGCTTGCCAGCGCCTCCGGCCGTGGCCCTGCTTCTCTTTTCTTTCCGCTCTGACTTCTTCATCTTTTTTTTTCCTCCCAGCGCGCAAAAATGTCAGGAGATGCAATTAACAAAAAGAAAATTGTTACAGTTGTATCCCGCTTAATTGGCGGACCGAGGCGGGGAGGGGGCGGGCAGCCGGTAGGAGCTCGGAGCTCCGGCGCTGCGAGCTCCGGGGGTCGTGGGCAGCTCGGGGACAGCGAGGTCCCCCGAGTCCCCTGCTTCGCCGGGCGGCGAGCGCGGCGCATGGCCGGCGGAGCCCGGGACGGAGCGCGGGGCCAGGCTGGCTGGGTGCGCTCCGAGCCCTTCGCTCCGGAGCCCTGCGCTCAGAGCCCCGAGGCTCCCCCGCCGGGCGGCTCATCCGCGGGGGCGAGCGGACCTGCGGCTGCGGCTGCGGCTGCGGCTCCGGAGTTTGCAGGGCGCTCGCTCTGCCTTCCGACCTCTCGCAGGGAGTTTGTGCAAACCTTCCGGAGTTGGGAGGACGGCGTGGGGGGAGCTGCGGGTCCCCAGAGTCCTGGGCCCAGGTGGTTGCCCGGGGCTCTTCTACCCGGCTGCCGGGGATCAGGGAGGCGCTCCGGGCGGTCGCCGGTGTGTCTGCGTATTGTGGCGGACTGGCTGTAGTCAATTAACTAGTCGGGTTAAGTTGGGCTTGGTCTGAGGACTGTCGTGTGCTCGCCCGCTCCGGGTGAAAAGCCGAGGCGGGCGGAGGCGGTTGGGGGTGCGAGACTGAGCGGGGAGCGCTGGCTTCCCGCGACAGCGAGGGGCAGGTGTCTCGGGCCGCCTCAGGGAGACTTTGAGCGGACGCCCAGATCCCGGACAGAGGGGGCCGGTCCCCAGGTACGATCGCCCAAGCCTGCCTGCCTTCCTCCTGCTCTTCATCTCGGCTTCCTTCCTTCCTTCCAGTCGGTGGAACTGTTAAGCCGCCAAGTCCGCCGGCGACCGGGGAGCTCGGGGGTGGCCTCGGAAAACTAGTGTCGCTCCAAAAGGGGCGCTATTGGCAGGGATGTTCCAGAGGGTGGATCCCTCGGAATCGCGGCGCGACGTGGGCTTCGGATCAGCGCCCCTGGTACCAGGACTTCCCGGCGGGGATCAAAGCCCCTGGGAGGGGGAAGGTGCGCTCCGGCGTTTTGAGCCGAATTCTTCCCAGTGTGTGGCGGTGGTCCACCCTGTTCTTTCCACCCCGGGCGTCTGCGTCCACCCCGGGTTCCTCTTGGAGTCAAAAAACCTGGTTCTCTTTGGGGAGCAGCAGGGGGGATTCCTCGTGCGGAGGACCGTGTAGGAAACCCGCGGTGTCTGCACCAGCCCATCTCCAGCAAGTAACAAGGAACAGGGTAGGGGTGTCCCTGGTCTCCGAGCTGATTTGATATATTGCGGTAAAGAGGACAGTGGAAGACAAGCCTCATCCGAGAGGAGTTCCTGGCTTCAGTTCCCTCCCGAAAGCTCAGATGCATTGCACTGGGTCGCTACAGCGTTTCACCTAAGAAAGAAAATGTTTTATGGCAGAATAAATGGGCGTAACTTCTCCGCATCCTCGCTGCCGCTCGCGCGCGCCGCCACACCGCTGATGCAGTTTCTAGCGAGCCTACACATCTGATTTGCAATTTCCTAATTTCCAGCTGAAATCACAAGGCCGGGTGATGCCACCTGGTAAACTCAAATCAGAAAGATCTATTTTATGAGTTTCCTTGTTGGGAAAGCCATACGCTGGATGCCCGGGAGCAGGCTTACGCTCCGGCGCTCACAGGATTTCCACGCTCCAGGGGTCCCCCGCTAGCTCCACTTTTTTTTTTTTGACACAGAAGTGCGTGGTGTGTGTGTGTGTGTGTGTGTGGCGCGGGAAGGATAGAGAAGCGAGAAGAAAGTGGCCAATCCCGGTAGTTAGTGAAATTAGTTCTGAAATCACACTTGTACTCTGTAATAACTGGAAACAGTTGCCGTGGGATGCATTTGTTAAGTGTATATTGGCACATGCACAGGGGAGCTCATACATCACCCTTACCTGTTTCTGTAGGTGGGAGTCGAGTGGTCACTGATAACAGGCCGCCCCATTCTGCCAACCTCTTCCCCTGAGGGCGATGTGTGTGAACAATAACCCCAGTCAACGAAGCCTTTTGCTCCCTGGACGTTTTAAAAACTCTGTATGCTGGAGTACACGCGTTGTAATTTGGGAGACTGACGCCATCTGCTTTTATTATTTTTTAAACAACTTGTTTAATAAAACATCTTATACATTTAATTTGTTTTTAGAAGTTGCTGATCAGGAAACAAAACACACGTGAATAAATTATGCATGGACTAAATTAGAACAAAGCGCAGTGACACATTGAGCCGAAGGGATGGAAGGGGGCGCCGGGAGGAGGAGGAGCGAGGAGAAGGGTTTGGAGAGCTATGTGCTTATCCTCGTGTGCCCCTCCTGACAATGAACCGGAGCTCAACATTAGCATTTTCTCCTTGTGCGTCCAGAGTCTCTCTCAAAAAGGCAGCATCACCGATGCCCCCTGCAGAAACTGGTCAACAAAGCTTTCCTCTAGGATCCGGGATAAGGGATAAGTAGTGGCAGTTACTGTGTAGGGAAGAAGCCAGCTCGGGTTTCTTTAATGCTCTGCCTTCTCAGATTATGGACTACTTTTCATCTTGTTAGCTTTTTTCCATGTGGGGCATTCAATAATTCAATTCACTGGGGTGACTGGATGGTGCAATTAGAATCTCTTTGCTTTGGGGGTATTCTGTAGGGTCCTAAGCTCCTGAAGACACATAGCCTTTCATGGCAGTTTGGCTTTCTTCCTGACTGTCTTTGATCTCTCCTCAACTTCCTTTCTTTTTCCTTCTTTTTCCTTTTACCCCTTCCTCTCTGAAGCTGACAGCCTGACTTCTCTCTCTGTTGTCTCCTTTAACATCTTGTTACTGCCCAACAGGGTGTTAGAGGCAGAAACAGGAGCTGCCTGGACAGACCAGATCACAAAGGAAACTCCGCAGGTGGGCCCCCCCAACCAAGCAGTCACATCTGGACAAATAGAATTTAGCAGTACTGATGGGCTTGTGTGATGTGTAAATGTGGTTGCTCATTATTTAATTGAGCAGCTACATTTTCTGAGTGAAGATGTGTGGGTGTCACCATTTCCTGTATATACACAGGTAAGGACTGTAGAATGAAGTGAACATGTATGGGCAACATAAATATGAATTTGATAAGGGTATATGTGTAAGCCACATATTGTATTTTGATTGATTTCTGCCTACTTAGGAAATATAATGCTTAAATTACAAAAGCAGTATTTATATGTATGTTGGGGGGGTACTGGTGCCATAATGCATGTGTGGAAGTCAGAGGACAATTTTCAGGAGTTGTTCTGGGGATTGGATTCAGGTAGTCAGGCTTAGAGGCTGGCCTTATAATGATTTTAGTATAAATTTTTAGCTTAACATTCCAGTTTAGGCAAATCATCTTCCCTCAAGCCTGCCAGCAGCACTTTAAACAGCTTACTCTTTCAGTAAGTTATCAAAACTGGTTTCTATGCACTTACCTGGGAATGCCTGCCACCTTTTGCCAGACTTAATTATGCACATTAAAAAATTGTTTTATGTATATGAGTGTATTGCCTGCATGTGTGTAAGTGCACCCGTGTTGTGCAGTTTTGATTATGCACATTTGTAACTATTATAACTGCTGCTTAGAAAGGAGTAACAGGGCTTTACCTCAATTGCTTGTTTATAAATAATTTGGTCATGCTTTTAACTGTGAACATACATGTACACAGTTGCATCAAAACTGTCCTTTGTTAGCAGTTACCCTAGCTTGGAGGCAAGTGTTGCTATCTTTGCTTTATTATTAAGGGTGCAACTCTGAGAGAAGTAAATGTTTACTTACCCAAGATTCAACATGCCTCATGTATAGATGGACCACAAATCTCATCATCTTTCTATCCATTTTCTGATGTGGGGACTATATGCTCTAATCTAAAGTGATTTGGGGACATGTGAAAGTTAGAAGCCAGAACTCAGGCTTGCTGGGGCAGCCAATTTAGCTATCAGGATGGAAGGGCTTGGGGGCCACATTCCTGGTCCTAATCTTGTCTTGACTATTTTGGTTGAGGAGGGGGTTATGAGCAGGGACTAAGTAGAGAGCAGTGGGGTTGAGACTTTGTGAACTTGCAGCCTTTTATGGGCATTATTTTCATCCTTTATGGAGAAGGATCTTTAGACACTTGAAGCCATCAGATGCCTGAGGACTAATCACCTCACTCTGTTTCTGGTTGCCACCATTTAAAAATAAGAGCCCTACATTCTCCAAACTTCATTAGCACACATTATTTTTCTAGTAGGATGATGGTTCCCATAAAGGAGATCAATTTCTCCCAGAACATAAGTGAAGGTGTTGTTACAGGATAAACTGAAATTAACCTGGCCTGCAGACCTCCTGGAGGACATCTGAGATGGCCAGTGTCACCGGGGCTGCTTAGATCCATAAAGCTGAGCGGAATCTACATCTTCCTCTGACATTTTGGAATCACTCAGGTAGCTGGGATTTGTATACAGCTGAGGAAAGCCTTAATATCACAAGCTGTTTTAGAACCATTCTCTCAGATCAATGCCAAGAATATAATGCATGCTCAGCATGCTTTGTTTTGAGCATGCACCCAAAAAAAGAACGGAAACTGAGGCTGCTGTCTCATTTTTCAAAGTGCAGCCCTGCTGATGTTAGTGGAGGTGGAGGCGGAGGCAGAAAAAGGTACCAGGCTCCAGGCCTGTTTAGTGTCCCGATCTCTGTAAAGTAACTTTTGTGGTTTTTGAGTGTTTTGAAAGTCACTAGAAGGCAGAAGTGTAGCCAAATGTGGCAAACCTCTGGCCAAAAACATCCCACAACCACTGAAATA